TTTAGCGTATTGCGCGGTCGCGTCCGCCATTAACGAATCGATTTGTAATTGTTTCGTAATTGTTTGTAATTTCCGAAATTTCGTAAATTTCGAACTTTTTTAAAGAAAAATTTCAGAATTCTTTTAAAAATCGAAACGCAAAAACCCCCTAAAAACGAATCGAGTTTAGAAACAATTTTTTCCGTGGTTGCCCAGCCCTAATATATATATATATATATAAGGAAGAATATTTTTATTTATCGTGTCAGGAACGAACCAACCAAACAAACAAAACACAAAGTTTGCAGACTTGCTATTCTATTAAATGTCCTTTTACCAATAGCTGGCAATGTGGAATTCCTCTGGTGTTGCTGCAAGAAGGTCCTCCATTGTGCATGTGGCAGGGCACAGACTCCATTGTAATAGGTGGTCTGTGGTTTGCTCTTCTCCACACTCGCATGTCATTGATTCCACTTTGTAAGCCCCATTTCTTAAAGTTGGCTCTGCATCTCGTGGTGCCAGAGCGCAATCTGTTCAGTGCCTTCCAAGTTGTCCAGTTTTCTGTGTGCCCAGGGGGGAGTCTCTCATTTGGTATCAGCCATTGATTGAGGTTCTGGGTTTGAGCCTGCCACTTTTGGACTCTCGCTTGCTGAGGTGTTCCAGTGAGTGTCTCTGTAGATCTTAGAAAACTATTTCTTGATTTAAGTCGTTGACGTGCTGGCTGATACCCAAACAGGGGATGAGCTGGAGATGTCTACTGCCTTGGTCCTTTCACTATTGGTTTCTACTCCCCGGCGGATATCAAGTGGTGCAATACCGGCTAAACAGTGTAATTTCTCCAGTGGTGTAGGACGCAGACACCCCGTGATAATGTGGCATATCTCATTAAGAGCCACATCTACTGTTTTAGCGTGGTGAGATGTACAGGGTTAGTCAAAATGAATAGGCCAATAAGAAAATTAATTTTAGACAAATGTATGTTTACTGTAACCAAACCACAGCTACGTAGCGACAGATAAACTATCAAAGTTTTTTTTTAGCAACACACATGTACGTTAATGCCGCTAGGCGTCGCTAGGGGTCGCTGTTTTCAAAATGGCGGAATCAAGCAAAGAGAAGACGTTTTGTGTGATGACATTTGCTAAAACAATGTCAGTAATTACGGTCCAACGAGAATTTCAGTGTTAGGGTTAGGGTTAGGGTTAGGGTTAGGGTTAGGGTTAGGGTTAGGGTTAGGGTTAGGGTTAGGTTTAGGGTTAGGTTTAGGGTTAGGGTTAGGGTTAGGGTTAGGGTTAGGGTTAGGGTTAGGGTGGGTAGGGTTAGGGTTAGGGTTAGGGTTAGGGTTAGGGTTAGGGTTAGGGTTAGGACCTCAACGAACACCTTCCCAGACGTTGCTGCATTCGATGCCATTACGTCGGATGTGCTGCAACGGATGTGGAATGAACTGGACTATCGCTTGGACATCTGCCGTGTCACACGGGGCGCCCATATCGAACATCTCTGAAGGTGAGACAAAACTTTGATAGTTTATCTGTCGCTACGTAGCTGTAGTTTGGTTACAATAAACATACATTCGTCTAAAATTAATTTTCTTATTGGCCTATTCATTTTGACTAACCCTGTGTATTCCACACTGGGCATGCATACTCAGCAGCAGAGTAGCCTAGCGCAAGGGCAGATGTCTTCACTGTATCTGGTTGTGATCCCCAGGTTGTGCCAGTCACTTTAAATAAAATGTGACAAAATGTCATAGACAAATGTCTATGAGTTCACAGCTACACTGCTAACCACACTATACCATTTCACTTCTAAGGGAAAGTTCCTTTACATTTCTGAAGTCATGTGTTCTTCTCTTAAGCTAGAGGGCATTTTCAAATACAGAGGATGATCTCTAAAAGTATCTGTTTCCCAACTACATGAAAGAAGAAGAACATATAGATATTTTAAAATAGGCATGAAGGAAAAGGAGGAAGGTAGGGGGGTGCCCAACACCTTGTTAATGTTGTGTGAGGTGCACACAACATTAACAATAAACACCGTGCCTTCAAAATCAGCAGTTTCCCTGTAGGGAGAAAATGTAGTGCTTCTGCCCTACATGAAATAAATGAATAAAACATTAAGAGAGATTATCATTGTCATTCACACAAAGCTAATTTAGGAAGGAACCATAGTTTGGAAAGAACATAGGGCTGTTGCATGAAAGGATAGCCCAAAAATCAGTACTAAGTTTCTCCTTCAAATCCATCTCATGTCCTTAATTTACCACCATGTGGATTTCATCATGCTATTCCCGGTAGAGTTCTCCTTCTGGCTGCCACCAAAGGAGGTAGAAAATCACACGAGAAATCATGTCAAGTCATGAGGAAGTTCACTGAACTAATTGTTATTGAAAGCAAGGGAACTCAAAAGACTCTCTTGTTTTCAATACTACCAGCTTGTTTCTTACAAAAAACAAGTTCTTTCTTTAGGCATGCTGGTTTGTGAATATTTAAAATGAACAGCAACTGTTGAGCTGGAGTTTCCCTGTTATCTGCTTTGAACATCATGGAAGCCATTTTAAGTGGATAAATGGCATACTAAGCCTTCCTGTGTAAGTCTAGGTGGTATAGTGGCTAGAGCAGTGGTTTCCAAACTTTGGTCTTCCTAAAGTCCCGAATTTCAGCTCCCAGAACTGAAGGATCAAAGTCTGAATATTCAGCTGAGGCTTTGGAGATCCAGGTCCTATTTATTTATTTATTTACCATATTTATACCCTGCCTTTCTCTATCCCAGCAGGCAGGCATGTAGGCGGGGGGGGGCTTCCGCCCCCCCCCCCCCCCGAAATTCTCATGGTGGTCACGAAAAGGCCTTACTGGTACATTATTTAAACTGTTATGTTTATTCATATCATGATCTGATCACCATGCTCAATATATCCCATATGCATGGGGTTTGGGGTAACGATACAAAAGGTTTGCTAGGGTAGACCCTCTTTCACTCAGACCCCCCCCCCCCTCCGAATCAAACTCACCCCCCCCCCCCCCCACCTTCCTCTACCCCAGCAGGGGTACTCAAGAGAGCTTACAATGGTACATACGCAGTGCCTCAAAACAACAAATTCACCTAAAACTAGTTTAAAATTACAACATATTGGACATGATTAAAATACATTCAAAGTTAAAAGCATGCCAGAGTTCAAGGTCTAAGGCCATTCCAATGTCAAATTGCACATAATTCTATATTTGGCATAATGCATGGCCCTAATTTTTGAAAGTCTGTTCCTAGAGCTAGGTTTTGACTCTCTTCCAAAGGCTAGTAGGAAGGGGGCTGATCTGATGTTGCTAGGGAGGGAGTTCCACAACCGAGGTGCCACCACTGAGAAGGCCCTGTCTCTCGTTCCCACCTGCTATACTTGTGAGGCAGGTGGGACTAAGAGCAGGATCTTAATCTCTGAGCTGGTTCGTAAGGGTAGATATGTTCGGACAGGCAGACTGGGCCAGAACCAATTAGGGCTTTATAGGCTAAAGCCAGCACTTTGAATTGTGCCTTGTAGCAGACAGGCAGCTACCTATTAAGCCATAAAAGTGCTTGAATAATCAAGGAAAAGAGACCCCAAATAGTTTCACAAGGCTACCTGTTTAGGTGAAGTGATCACTGATATAGCAAGAGAATCATACAGAAGAGTCAACCACAAAAACAGAATTTACAGCAGCGGTGAATCTAGCATTTGTACAGGCGTTTACTTTGCTAAAATTCCATCTATGTACTTAACTACTCACAAAGGTCCTCCTCCAAGCAACTCCTTAATATGACTTCTGTAGAGTTGCTATGAGTGAAAGGGGATTCTCAGCAATAATACTTTGATTATACAATTCACTCTTGAGAGAAGGTAATCTAACCCTCACACTGCTTTCTATTTGGCATCAAATGAAAACATTTTACTTCCCTTTCAGGTTATTATTATAATCCCAAATTTTACTACATGCAGAATGCTCAATATGTGGAACCATTTATATTAACACATTTTTGTATATTTAATTCCCTGTGGTATTGAGATGGTGGTTTCAGGGCACATGATGTCCAAATGAATTATTGTGCCAGTAACTGTGTTGGAGATGACATGAATTATTATTTGAAGTTCTGCTTTCACTTAGCAATTCATGGATTATGGACCTAGAAGTGTCAACTTCAAATCTGTCCACCTGCATGATAATATTATCAATGGTAATATACAATGCTATGTTGATTGAAAGTGTTATAAATATTGTTTTCCCCCCCCTCAAAATGAGGGGGAGGAAGGCCCTTTGCTCCCTTACTTTGTAGTCCCTACAAAGGCCAACGCTTTCCCTGCTCTGCTCTCCTTTCCAGCCTTGATCTTTGACCCACCCTTTAACATTGTGCTTTAGGGGTCGCCAATGGGGCAGGGTGGGAGTTTTCCTCCCCCCTATCTTCTAGGGGTTTTTTTGCCTGCCCTACACTGTTCAGTCCAGAGCTAATTGGGTGACTGGGCTTTAAATAAGCTGTAATATGGAAAAACAGGGATAGGTTACATCTCAGTGTGCACCTAAGACACCCCTTTGTGGTGTAGGCCATGAATGGGAACCCGAGGTGTGGGTGAACCTTGAGCGGGAGGAGTTCCGGTCTTAATCTCCTCTGGAATAGGGATGGAATTATCCATCTGTTTCCCTGAGTGGTTGCCCTGGAATCAGCAGTTAGTTGTAGCCATGGACCATGGTGTCTCGCCCTTGATAGATGAGGAATAGGTCTTGGATGGTCACTGCCTCGGTTCATATGCACACCAAGTTCATGCCCTTAAATTGGTTGCCAGTTCACATACAGACTGATCGATAACCTTTCATAAAAGTCGCCCATAGTTTAATCCACATTCTTGTGTTGACTCATAATTTTGTTGGTTTGCAAGCAAATAAAAATAATATTGATAAACCCTACAGGATTGGAAGGATTGCTGAAATGCTAACATTGCTGAAAACTTAAAAGAAATACTATATCATGCTTTGCATCTATTAGTACTTAATGTTTACCTTGTTGAAGCTTCAGTAGTGGAAGAGTCAGGTATTTCTGGAACAGGGCGGTGCCTAAGCATAAATGATCTTGTTGGCCTTGAAGCTGCTTGTGTAGAGCTTTGGCTACAAGCACTATACAAATCATTTTCAACCATTTCACCTTGAAACTCAAAAAAATGACTACTCAGTGGAGCATTAGTCAAACTTCTTGATGTCGAAAGCACAGGGTGATCCTCATCATGAGATTTTATTCCAGGTGAAGATGCAGGAGACGATATTTCCTTGGGAACATTGTGTTGTTCAATGCTAACAACATCTGCCCACCTCTTTTCAAGAAGACTATTCACAGAAATTCCCTTTTGAGACATCACATTTTTCAGTGCATTTTCTGAATCAGTGGTGACTTCTGTTAAGCCACCCAAGTTCTGATAGGAGGTGTTAAAAGAGCTGAAACCTGCCAACATGTCGCCTTTGACTTCCAATGACTCATCGTCAGCAAGTTCTTTATTTTCCTTATATAAGCAATGTTTGTCACAAGCCATAATGGCAGATTCATTGGATATTTGGAAAGCTGTTTCATCCTCTTGTTTGCCTGGAACGTTTTTATTGGAATTGTTGCAAAATAATGGAGAAATGTCATTTCCCAAGTCTTTTGCACTTTCCATTTTCTGGCTTTCAGCAGATGCACATTTGGCTGGCATTTCTGAAAACACAAAATCCAATTGCTTGAGTATTCTTCTTCGGTGCCCCGTAGGAGTTATTCCAATCTGTTGAAGTACACAGTCATTTATCTGTGTACAGTCTTGCAAATGGTCATAACCAAAGTTTTGGAAGTTTGGATAATACTGTCCTAAATTAATGCTGACCAAGAAATCTTTTACATCTCCATGAATGCCCATGTAGGACATACTGGAAACTTCATTCCTCGCTTTTCTTTTCAGAGCTCAAGAGAAGCAGAATAGTGTACACACATATTCAGAATCAAGGCAAAACTCTTCTTGAAGTCCTGTGTGTAGAATGAAGAAGTGTCTTCTAACAAGCAGCAACTGACTTAGAAGCCTGATATACATTCAGATCCTGCAGTAGGAAAGTAGAAGAGTATATTCATTAGAAACGTATTAGAAAAATGCTAAGAACAGCATTTTTATTCCTACAAATAAAGAACAACATTTTGAAGCACACCTAATGCTTTTTTGCAAAGGTGATAATTATCTCAGGGTAATTAAACAATTGGCCTCTTATCTTGTGTTGGAAGATGATATAATTGGATTTCTCATACACATTACTTTCCCTCCCTGACTATTAATTCCCAAGGCCTGCACACAAGACAATAAAAAAGGAAAACACAAGCTTGCAATTAATCATTTCTTTTGTCACCATTTATTTATCTAAACAGCATGACAAATCGAATTTTACAGAATGTAATGGAGTTATCTCTCTTGTTCCCAGTGCTTGAAAAAGTTACTTTTTAAGGATGCAACACCCAGTCCTTCAGGAGCCAGTCTAGACCATTACGTAAATATTTGGCTGCTTGAAAGCAGATTGCTCTCAGAGGCAGATTAATTGTTGAGAAAGCTTCTCACCCAGATCATGGAGGTAGAAGGGCTGCAGCAGTGATAGGAACTGTCATATGTGTATGTGACAGCAGTGCACCACTCCACACCACTAATCCTGCTACTCTTTATTTTTGTTGTCTCTGGCCACAATGGCAGATCAGCTAAAAATCTTTATTCTTTGATAATGCAGAATATGTGCAATCTTACATTATTATGTCCTCTAACATTAACAGATTTTACTATAGGAGCCCAAAATAACTTTTAAAAAACTTCCAGATACCTTGACCAGCAAATGTTACATATGAACATAAAATCTGAACTCACTGGTAAAATGTACTGATGTAGTCTAGACTCATATATTTCTTTATTTAAAAGATCAAGACCGGAATATGTATTTTCATCAAGCAGAAGAATTGCTAAGTGCTTTTTTTTTTTTTTGCATGCTTAGAAAGATCAGCAAGAACCAACAAACCAATGGCCAGGTTTCATAACCAATTATTACTTCTACTACTATGCAGGAATACATGAAAATTCCTCTGATCGTTTGCACTGTGCTTTGCCCAGCTACAAGCAACAAATTGTTCTCCATGCACAATTCAGAAAAGTGTATGGACCAAATGACATTATTCCTCCAAAAGCCATCATCTTCAATTCCTGAAAGAAGAACGATACGTTGTCCAAAGACTCCTGGTTTTTCTATTAAAGGTTAAGGTAAAGGTAAAGGTAAAGGTAGTCCCCTGACATTAAGTCCAGTCATGTCTGACTCTGGGGTGTGGTGCTCATCTCCATTTCTAAGCCGAAGAGCCAGCGTTGTCCGTAGACACCTCCAAGGTCATGTGGCCGACATGACTGCATGGAGCGCCGTTACCTTCCCGCCGGAGCGGTACCTATTGATCTACTCACATTTGCATGTTTTCGAACTGCTAGGTTGGCAGAAGCTAGGGCTGACAGCGGAAGCTCACGCCGCTCCGTGGAATAGAACCTGAGACCTTTCAATCAACAAGCTCAGCAGCTCAGTGCTTTAACCCACTGCGCCACCGGTTAGGCATCCCTTATCCAGAATTCCAAAATCCAAAATACTCCAAATCTTAAGTTGTCCACATGGGTGGGCAAGACATCAATATCTTTGATTTGTAATGAGGCAACGTACATAAATTTGGTTTCATATACAAAATCATTACATACACTGTATACATTACCTTCAAACTATGTTCATAAACTATATATGAAACATAAATGAATTTCATGTTTAGATTTGGGTACCTTCTCCACGATATCTTATTATGTACATATATGCAAATGCAGGGATTCCAAAACAAAACAAAACAAATCCAAAACCTAAAATACAACACTTTTGATCCCAAACATTTTGGATAAGGGATACTCAACATAAAGGGAACCACTGACGGCATAAGGAAGCTAATAAAGAAAGACAACCTACGAACTATCTACAGACTCACTAAGAAAATCCAACAAATGCTACATTCAGCAAAGGACAAGAGGGATCATCTCACCTGTGCAGGAGTCTACCATATACCAAGCAGCTGTGGACAAGTCTACATAGGGCCCACCAAACGCAGCATTGGCCAAACACGAATCAAGGAACATGAAAGGCACTGCAGACTACTTCGACCAGAGAAGTCAGCCATAGCAGAGCACCTGATGAACCAGCCTGGACACAGCTTATTATTTGAGAACACAGAAATGCTGGACCACTCTAACTACCACCATGACAGACACACAGAGAAGCCATTGAAATCCACAAGCATGTGGACAATTGCAACAGAAAGGAGGAAACCATGAATATGAACAAAATCTGGCTACCAATATTGGGAAAAAAACCTCTAAAAACAGGACAGTAAATAAAGAGCAATACTCAAAAAACAGGGGAATTCCAGACAAGAATTAATCAGGGACAGCTAATACCTCCCAACAAAGGATCCTCCAGGTAGCAACCAGCCAGGCTTTGAAGGTACAAGGCCATTAAATGCTAATCAAGCTGCAACATTCACACTTGCCTCAAGGAGACATGAGTTCTTTCTCCCATCCCAGACATTCCACAGATATATAAACCCCACTTGCCTAGTTTCCAACAGACCTCACAACTTCTTTTTTTTTTTTATTAAATTTTTTCTGGGTTTTTATCTTCATACAGTGAAAGAGTGGGAACAATGAATTGGATAGAAAGGGTGGGAAATTTGAGTAGTGTGGGAGGGAAGTGAGATGGGAAAGAAGGGGGGAGGGGAAAGAGGGGGGGAAGAGAAAAGGGAAAGGAGGCAGGTCTGTGGATGGGATAGGGAGGGGGGGGGTCGTCAGACTCCCGTTCAGTCTACAGGAAAGTATCATCTTGTCTTTAAATCATTCTTCTTCTGCTTCCTTAGACCTGTTTCCTTATTATAGCACCTTATATGTCTAGTTTAATTTGTTTCCTAAGATATTCCTCTATTTCTTTCCAATTTATTTGTTTGTTTTCTTCTTCCTTTTCTAAGATTTGTGAGAGTTTGTCTAGATTCCTAAATTCTACCAGCTTTTCAAACCACTCTTTGCTGCTAGGGGTCTCCTTGTTTTTCCATTTCTTTGCAATTAAAGTTTTTGCTGCAGCGGATAGGTAGAAAAGCATTCTTTCTTGATTTTTTTTTTTAAATTGGTGTTCGTTATATTCAGTAGATAAAGTTCCGGTTTCATGTCAAATTTTGTGTGAATGATGTTTTGGGCATGCTTGTGTACAGTCTTCCAAAATTTCTTGACCTCTCCACATAGCCAAAATTGGTGATAGTAGGTTCCGCTTTCTTTTTTACATTTCCAACATATCCCATCATTTTTCTTATTGAATTTGGCCAGTTGCATTGGTGTTAGATGCCACCTGTAAAATACTTTGTACCAATTCTCTATAATATTGGTTGCCTTTGTGAATTTTAATTTGTTTCTCCAGACTTGCTCCCACTCATCAAGTAGTATAGAATGACCAAAATCCTTAGCCCATTTAATCATGTTTTCTTTGACCACTTCCTTTTCATTTTTCCATTCTAGTAGTTTCTGGTATAGTGTTTCGATCAGATTCTTTTCTTTTTTCATAACGGTATCCCAGCATGTGTCAATTTCGTTAAATCCCAGTTTTTGATCAACCTTGAAGTGTTCTTTAATCTGTAGGTGATGAAGCCAACTCATTCCCTTATCTTCTTTTTTTAGGTCTTCTAAGGGTCTCAGTTGCCATTCTCCCTTGTTCTTAATGAGCAATTGCTTGTAGGTTAGCCACTTACTTCTGGGGATTTCCCTCTTGTGATAAGCCTCCACTGGTGATATCCATGTGGGCGTTTTCCTATAAAAATGGCCTTTATATTTGTTCCAAGTTTTTAATAGGGAAGCTCTGATGTGGTGGTTTGTAAAATTTCTTTCGATGGACGCTTTTTCATACCACAGGTATGCGTGCCATCCCCTTCGGATATCGTGGCCCTCCAATGTCAGCAATTTTTTCTGGTCCAGGGTAGCCCATGTTTTTGTCCAAAGTAGGGCAGATGCTTCATGATATACCTGGAAATCTGGTAGGGCCAGTCCTCCTCTCTGTTTTGCATCCGTGAGATTTTGGAAATTTATTCGATGTTTTTTCCCCTCCCAGATGAATTTTAAAATATCTTTGTTCCACGTTTTAAAGCATGCGCTCGTTTTGATGATTGGTATCATCTGAAATAGGAATATTAGTTTTGGCAGCACACTCATTTTAATGACTGCTATTTTCCCTAGTAAGGAGATTTTAAGATATTTCCAGTTTTCCAGTTTCTTTTTTATCTCATTCCAGCCCTTTTCGTAGTTTTCTTTGAACAAATGTCTATTTGATGAGGAGATCACAATACCTAGGTATTTAATTTTTCTGGTAACCTCTATTCCTGTGTCTTCATGAATTTTGTCTTTTTCCTTTTTGGTTACATTCTTTGTTAACATTTTTGTTTTGTTTCTATTTATTTTGACTCCTGCCAGTCTTCCAAAGGCCTCGATCTTGTCTATCCACTTGGTGGTGTTTTGCACTGGATTGTCTATTATACATACAAGATCATCAGCGAAGGCTAGGACCTTATATTCCTCCGATCTGATCTTCAAACCTTCCAGTTCTTTATCTTCTCTTAGGTCCTCTAACAGAATTTCCAATACCAATATAAATAGGAGGGGGGACAGGGGACATCCCTGTCTCACGCCTCTCTGGATTTTTATCTTGTCTGATTGTTGACCGTTAATTATTACTGTTGCGGTTTGGTTTGTGTAAAGAGCTCTTATAGCGTTTCTAATGGAGTAACCAATGTCCATTTCTATTAATACTGCTGTTATGAAGTCCCAATTTGTGCGGTCGAAGGCCTTTTCCGCGTCTAAAAATAGTAGGCCTATATTTTTTTGTGGGTTTTTTTCGTACAGTTCAATAATATCTATCACAGTCCTTATATTGTCTCTCATTTGCCTATTTGGAAGAAATCCCCGCTGGTCTTCTTTTATTCTATCTTGTAATAACTTTTTAAATCTCTCTGCCAGAAGGCTTGTAAATATTTTGTAGTCGTAGTTTAGCAGCGAAATAGGGCGATAGATTTTTAGATCGGTGGGTTCTGTACTTTCTTTGTGTATGAGCATGATGTTTGCCTCATGCCACGTCTCAGGCATATCGCCGCCTTTCATAATGTTATTCATTATATCTTTCAGATGTGGTGCTGTTTCTTCCTTAAAGGTCTTGTAATATTGGGCAGTAAGGCCATCTGGACCTGGAGTTTTGTTAACTGCTAGTTTGTTTATAGCTTTTGTCACTTCCTCTTCCGTAATCAGTTTGTTCATATATTCTCTTTCCATGTCGGAAATCCTTGGGATTTTGCGCTTGGAGAGAAAGGCCATTATATCTTCTTTGTCTATTGGATCTTTTTTGTAGAGCTCTTGGTAGAAAATTCTAAATTGTTCGGCAATTTCTTTTTCTTTGGTATAGTTTTTATCTCCCTTCTTGATCTGAGTTATGTATTTTTGCTGCTTCCTCTTCATAAGTTTTTTCACCAAGTATCTTCCTGGTTTGTTTGCTCTTATAAAGTACTGGGCCTTAAGGTGTTTCATATTTTTAGCCATCTGATCTATTTGCGTTGTTTCAATTTTTTTCTTGATTATTTCTATTTCTGTTTTAATTTTTTTATTTCCTGGTCTTTTTTTAAGGGTATCTTCTTTCTCCTTCAGTCGTCTTGTCAATTTGGTCTCTTCTTCTTTCTTTCTTTTGTTCCTTATTGCTCCCTGTTGAATGAAGTGGCCCCGCATAAATGCTTTACTTGTTTCCCATACCATTTCTAGCTTGGTACCTTTGTCTAGATTATTATCAAAAAATTCTTGTAGGATTTTTTTATTGTGTTTTATGTCTTCTTCTAGCCTTATGAGAGTGTCATCTAACCTCCAACTTCTGTAACACTGGTTTATTTGAATGTCTATCCTTAGAGGGCAGTGATCTGTGTGTGTCCTTGGTAGAATTTCTGCTTTGGTGGTTTTAACTGCTAGACTGTTGGAGACCCAACCCATATCAATCCGGGACCATGAGTCATGTCTGTTGGAATAGAATGTGTAATCCTTGGTTCCTGGGTTTTTCATCCTCCAGATATCTTTTAGTTGGAGGTCTTGTTGCATTTGTAAAAAGCTAAGTGGCAATCTCCCTCCCACAGGGTCTCCCCTTTTTGTTTTCTTTTTAGATTTGTCTAGGTTGCAGTCCATTACCCCGTTGAAATCACCTATTATTAATAAATTGTCACACATGTGTTCAGCTATTTTCTTTTTTAGGTATTTGACAAAGGTGGACTTTGCTCCGTTAGGGGCGTAGATATTACATATAAGGATGGCTGTGCTCCCTACTTTAATTTTAGCCGCTATTATTCTGCCTTCATCGTCTCTGAATGCTAATTCTGGGTTGAGGTGGTCCTTTATATACATGACAACTCCTTTTTTCTTTTTTGTTGAACATGAATAGTATAGTTTCCCTAGTTGTTTATTTTCTAAGTGGGCTGAGTGCTTTTGCATTATATGTGTTTCTTGTAGTGCGATTAAATCACATCTCATAGTCTTAAGCTGGTTGCATATTAATTTCTTTTTATTTGGGCTGTTAAGCCCGTTTCACATTATTCGATATGATCCTTAGTTTCATCATTTGGAATTAAGTCAATTAAGTCCTTTGTAACTTTGTTTTGGTGGGTTTGTTTAATATAGTCTTCTGGGGATGTTTGTCTGGCCCTCTTTTCTCCCTTTCTTCCCTCTGTTAATCTCTCTCCTAGGTCCATCTCCTCCTCCTCTGATCCATCCGTTTCTTTCACTGTTGCTCCTGTTTCTTGTTGTCTCTTATCTTGGTCTTTCTTCGCTTGTTTTTTCCTGATTTTCTTATAAAAATTTTTTGCTTTGTCCACAGATGTTAACCAATATTTTTCCTCTCCATAGGTAACCATTATTCCTTCGTACTTTTCCCAGCGAAATTTAATTTGTTGTTTTTTTAGTTCATCCGTTAGGAAGTAATAATGTTTCCTTTTACTCATTACAAACGGTGGAACCTCTTTTAAGATTGTAACTCTTTTTCCCCTGAAAAAAGTCGGTTCTTTTGTACTTTTCGTTAGTATTTGGTCTCTTACATATTTTCTTGTTAGATGCACCACAGCGTCCCTTGGTGTGCCATTCTTTCTGGCTTATGTTGTCTGTACCCTATATGCTCGGTCAATATTCTTGTCCACTGCCTCCCAAGGTATTTCTAATAGTTTAGCTGTTATTTCGATTGCTATGTTTCTTATGTTTTCTTGTTCTCTTTCTTCAATATTTCTGATCCTGATTTGGTACTCCGTTTCTCTCAATTCCGTCGTCTCCTGCAGTCTTTTCATCTTGGAGGTTAGTTCTTCTATTTTGTCCACTCTTAAGTTTACTTTGTTTACTGATTTTTTCTGTGTTTCACTTTCTTTTTTCATCTCATTGACTTCTTTTTGCATTGAGCCTATATCTGTTTTAATAGTTGACATTTCTTCTTTGATTTCTTCTCTCACTTTCCCCATCTCTTCTTTTATCATTTTTTCTAAATTGGTTTCTAGCTTTCCTAGGCTTTCTTGGGAGTTTTGTATTTTTATCTGTGCCTCTTGCATTTTTTCTTGCGTTGCTTTTATCTTGATTAGTTCTTCCATTATATCTTTAGCTGTGGGCTCTTTGGGTGTGGGGTCCCCTTGGAGGGAGTTTCTTCTTGCTGTTGTTCCTTTAAGTTGCTTTGTTAGGTTAGCCTTCTCCATTGTTATGATTCTAGGTTAATTCTAGGGTGCTGCCACTCGTTCTTTTGTTGCGTGTCTCTGTCCGTCTCTAGCCGAGTGGATTGGTAGATAGTTTGTAGTTTCCTGAATTGTACTTGGTGGTTTCTATATATTCAATGTATCCACTGGCACTTTAACGTATTTTCCCTGTGCTACTACTATATCTACTACACTACTTGAACATATACATATACATATACATATACCTTTGCGACAATGCTTATACCAATAATTAAAAAATTCTTACCTGTAAGGTCTATATGTAGAATTAAATGTATCATAAATTGGCATAGGTTAAGTATAAATTACTTGTTACACTTAATTTGACAATCTTGTCCCATGGGGAGTATCAAAATTCAATGTATTTGCGTGTTATTACATGTAGTTCCTGTGGGTACATTGGATACATCATTATAATAATACCTACAAAAAGATAAAGCCAATAGTTTATTTAAACAAACTAAGATTTAACTTGCCCTTTGGCTTCGTACACTTCTTACTAGTTTTAGGGTAGATGAGGAGTTTCCCTTCCTTTCTAGTCAGGGTGAGGAGTAACGAGAAAATATGCACTTCAGCCGTGCTCTTTACCTTGTCCGGGGCTTGATTATTCAGTTGTTTGGTGGGCTCTTCTCTTGCTACATTGGCCTTCCGCTCTGAGAATGTTCCCAGCTCTGTTTCTCCGTTTTATCTTTCTGTTTTCTTCTCGATTATTCACTTGCTTAACGCCGAGGCCTTAAAGGTCTTGTTCTTAGTAGGCTCGTTCTGTATTTGGGGTTGGGGCGTCTTGCGGCGTTCGGCTGCTTTGTGTCGGCTTTACGGCTTTCTCCTCGCTTTACGGCTTCGCGGCTTTGGCCTTCAATGATTGTTCCAAAGGCCTCCTTGGGATCCTCGGCCTCCTTCTCTTCCTCTTGCCCTGCTCCCTCTCACCGGGTCCGTCTTGGCTCCTCTACCTCTTTTTCCGTTCGGCGTTCTTTCCGGTTCTCTCGTCCTTTGTTTCCCCCAGCCTTGCTCCTCGCTACTCGCTACTCCTTCTCCGTCTCCGTCTCTCCACGCCTCTCCGCTCCACACTCCTAGCTTTACTGGCTCGGGCGCTTTTCCTCTATCTCTTCTCACCGCTTTGTCTCAGTTTGGGTGAGTAAAGCTTCTTATGTCTTTTTTGCGTATTTTTTTTTAATGTAGTAGGTTGCTATCTTTATTTAGTTGTCTTTTTTTTCTTCCTTCTTTCCTTTCCTGTATCCTTTATCTTTCTTGTCCTTCTTATTGATGTTCTTTCTATCTCTTGTTTCTATGAGGGCGGTAGGCTTGCCTACTCACAACTTCTGAGGATGCCTGCCATATATGTCAGTGAAACGTCAGGAGAGAATGCTTCTGGAATATGGCCATATAGCCTGGAAAACTCACAGCAAACCAATACTCAACCTGTTACTGTTGTTCTTACTATCTTGCCTATTTCCCCATGCAGGACTTAAAGCGATTCATAAATTTTTAAAAAAACACATTGTTAAAAAGTCACAGGATGCCAAAGTTAACATGAGATTAAGCAATCAAAAAATCAAAGCCAGATTAAAACATACATAGATGCATGCATACACACAGACCCACAAAGACAATTTGCCCAATTCAGTCTACAATTTGCACAATTCAGTGTAAGTGAGGTGGGTTTACACAGTCACTCTTGAAATGCCTGTTGGAACAGGAAAGTATTTATTTATCTGTGAAAGGAAAGTCTTTATTCCCATGTAGCAGAGATTTGCAATTCAAATACTGCGACTCTGCAACTCTCCTTTTTGCCAATGGAAGGCTCTCCATTCTTTGTGTACAAGGCTCCATTTGTGCCCAGATCACAGCCAAACAGAAATCAGTTGTTTAACATCAGAGCTAAAAGATCTACAGAATACTGTGTTATCACAAGCAGTGGAAACCACTCGGTTGCTTGCTTGCTTCTAGCAAGGCGATTCAGTTGCAACAAAAGCAATAACGTATCTAATACCATTTTCCTAACAATATTGTAAAGAAATAAAGTTTTCTCAAACCAAGAAGTTGATTTCATCAGATAGTTTGCTTCCTGTATTGTATTCTATTTTTAAAATTATACAATATTGTTGGGTTTCATTTTTTTTCTGCCAACCTCCACTGTATGTAGCAACTCTCCTGATCACAAATAAGTGCTCTTCTGTTCTCTAATCATCCTTCAGAGCTGATGGAAAAGGTCTGAAGGTTTTTTATTGTTATTTCTAAGAGGGTGAGTACTGAGTAACTGAGTCTGACACACTATAGCAGTGGTTCCCAAACTGTGGTCCGTGGACCATCAGTGGTCTGCAAGAACTAAAATATGATCCATTACTACACCATTACAATGAGAGCAACTGGTCTCACAAAACCTTCTTATAGTGCCGAGGCTTATTAAATATGGTTTTCTGTGAGCAAGCAGATGGTAACTACTGGATGACATATATTCTGTATCAGAAACTAGAGTTGATGTGGTCTATCCAATGTAATTTTCTGAATTGGCACCCTGAATAACAAAACCAAATCTAAAGTTGACCAAAAACTGATTTGTAACCCTGTTGGTACTATTGTTGGAGTGTGATCCCTGCTCAAATGGTCCCTGCTCAAAATAAAAGGTTGGGAACCATTGTACTATACTATTCAGAGTTCAACAGAGTCAGAGTTGTAAGGCACTGCAGACTAACTTAACCAGAGAAGTCAGGCATTGCACAGCATTTGATGAACCAACCTGGACTCAGCATATTTTTTGAAATCACAGAAATGCTGGACCACTCTAACAACTACCATGTCGGACTACACAGAGAA